GCTGTTGCCCTGGCAACAGTGGTGTCATAGCTCTTAAGCAGTTCTCTTGTTTCAGCCTCCCAAGTAGCTGGGACTACAGGCACCCACCACAACACCCGGCCATTTTTTCATTGCAATTATTCTTGTTATTTTAGCTAGCCTAGGCTGGGTTTGAACATGCTAGCCTCAGTGTAGGTGGCCAGCGCCCTACCCACTGGGCCACGCGGGGCCACCTTTTTTTGATACACAAGTTCTTCAGGGCCATCTGTGGGACTTCACTATGCACAAATTTCAGTATACATGAGAGTCCTGGGACCAATCCTTCAAGTATATGAAAGTATGACTGTACTGTAGGATATTACTTATGTATGGAATCTAAAACACAAACAAAAAAAAGTCACACCTGTAGAAACAGAGAATGGTGGATTCCTGAGGCTAGGAGGTAGTGGGGAGATGTCAGTCTATGGGCAAACTTAGACTTTCAGTTACAAGATGAATAAATTCTGAGCATCCAATGTACAACATGGCGACTACAGTTAATAACACTGTCTTGGATATGTGAAATTTGCTAATCCAGTATCTCTTAAGTATTCTCTCCCCACCCCCCAAAAGTTAGTTACTATGTAAGATGATGAATGCATTGTCATAAATTATTTCACAGTGTATACATGTAGCAAATCACATGCACATTTTAAACACATTTGACTGTATTTGTCAATTATACCTCAATATAACTGAAAAAACAAAGTTTGTAAAACACATCTGATAAAGGAACTGTTATCAGAATATATTAACTCTCAAAACTTAAACAAAAATTTTCAATGGGCAAAAGATTTGAACACTTTACCAAAAACATATAGAGGGCAAATAAGCACATAAGTTACTCAACATCATTAGACATTATGAAATGGTAATCAAAACCACAAGACACTACCACTCCACACCTATCAGAATGGCTAAAGACTGGGTACAGTGGCTCACACCTGTGATTCTAGCACTTTGGGAGGCCAAAGCAGGAGGACTGTTTTAAGCCAGGAGTTCAAGATCAACCTGAATAAGAGTGAGGCCCCATCTCTATAAAAAAAATAGAGAACTTAGCCAGGCATGGTGGAACATACCTGTAGTTCCAGCTACTTGGGAGGCTGATGCAGGAGGATTGCTTGAATCTAGGAGTTTGAGGCTTCAGTGAACCATGATGAGGCCACTGCACTCTAACCCAGGCAAGAAAAAAAAGAGAAGACTGACCTGACTAACATTACCAAGTGTTGTTAAGGATACGGACCACCTAGAAGGCACATACATTGCTAGTGGAAATTCAAAATGTCGTAGCCACTTCTGAAAACAATTTGGTAGTCTTTGCAAAGTTAAAACCAATACTGGCCATACAACCCACCCACTACTAAGTATTTACCCAAGAGATAGGAAAACATATGTTCATGCAACATTCACAAATATTTGGAATGGCTTTATTACTGCTCCAAACTGGAAGCATCCCAAGTGTTTTGAAACTGATAAATGGGTAAACAAACTGCAGTATGAATACTAATACCTAAGGAATATTACTCAGCAATAGAAAAAGATCAAACTACTGATATCTGATAAACACTGCAACATGGATGAATCTCAAATGTACTACACCAAGTGAAAGAAGTCAAACTCAGGCTTTATATGGTATGATTAATCCCACTACGAGACATTTTGAAAAAGGCAAAACTAAAGGAACAAAGAACAGACTAGTGGGGTGAGAGGACACAGCAGCTATGGAGGGGCATGGGAGAATTTTCTGGGGTGATGGAAATGTTCTGTATCTTAATTGTGGGAGTGGTCATATGACTCTATGTGTCAAAACTCACAGAGGAGAACACTATGTTAATTTTAACTCAATAAGCCTAACTTTAAAATTATTCTTTCCTTTTTAAAATGAGAGGCTCAAATATAATCATTATGTATAGATGTTAGTAGAGATCACAGAAGCAAGTTCAAGACTCAAGTTTATTAACTAGATGACACATACTTAGTTGTCACTATGTGCTTGATCTTTGTATAATTTTAAGTTATTTTTATTCTTTATAACTTATGTTCACAATGGTCAAAGACAAGAAGTATGGGGGCCCCTTTATCTGTGGGTTCCACACCTGTAGATTCAACCAACCTTAAATAAAAATAATGTACCAATAAAAAAAATTAATTTACAGTGTATTAGGTATTATAAGTAATCTAGAGATGATTTAAACTATATGGAAGGATGTGTGGGGTTTATATGCAAATACTGTGCTATTTATACATAATCTTTTTTATTTATTTAAAAAAAGATTTTTTATTTGTTTAAAATTAGTTTTAAAGACAGGGTCTTTATTCTATTGCCCACGCTGAATTCTCAGACTTAAGCAATCCTCTGTCCTCAGCCTCCCAAGTAACTAAGACTACAGGCACATGTCACACCAAGCTAATTTTTACTTTTTTTTTTTTTTTTTTTTTAGAGACAGGGCCTCACTACGTTGCCCAGGCTGGTCTTGAACTCCTGGATGTAAGTGATCCCCATCTCTGCCTCCCAAAGCTCTGGGACTACAGGTGTGAGCCACCACATCTAACCCTATTTTTATTTCTAAAAAATTGTTTAGAGATGAGGTCTGACTATGTTGCCTGGACTATAGTGCAGTGACTGTTCACAGAACTGATCATAGGCCACGGCAGCCTTTAACTCCTGGGCTCCAGTGATCCTCCTGCCTCAGCCTCCTGAGTAGCTGGGGCTACAGGCATATGCCACCACACCCAGCTTACTATGCCATTCCATATTAGGAACTGGAGCATCTGAGGACTCTGGTATCTTTGAAGGATCCTGGATACCAGTCCTTCACAGACTCTGAGGGAAGACTGTATAATGAATTCTGCCTATCCTATTTCTTTTTTCTCCAATAAACTTCCTAAGGCTAAAAATTTTTGTCTATCTTGCCACTGTTATATCCCCAGCATCTAAAACAGTACCAACCAAGTAGGCATTCAAATAGTTGATAAATGAATAAGCTGCTGTGTTAAAAGATAGTAATAACACTTACCCATTTGCTTTTTCATTTACTGAAAATAAAGATTATTTACAACTGAAATTTGTTGTTCTAAGAGAAGCAGTTACAAAAAAACACCCCCACAAGTCTTCTCACTTAACCATTTAAAACACAAATTACAAAAATAAAGATTTTGTTTTGTTTTATAAGGCACAAAATGTTAGCAATTCAAACATTGGAATTAGAAAGTTGTTTTTATCTCTTTGATACCACATCAGTTAAATTTTAAATTACATATATACAATCCCATAGAGCCCAGGATAACTAAGCTAAAACTCTGACAAGACGTTTTCTTCCATAATTAAAATAAAACCTATTACTTTTCAGAGTAAAAAAAGTTGAGATTTATCTGGATATATCATGAATATAATAATGTAATTTTAAAATGTGTACTATTTTTAACAATTTACCAATCTAAAATAAAATAAATGTTAAAGTTTTTCATCATATTATCATAATAAATGACAAAAGGATCTTTTAATTGCCTGAAGGGAATCAAGACCTTACTATTGTGAAAGGAACTCACAGGTCAACACATTAACTACATTGTATGATTTCACTTACTTGGTACTCTTAAGAGTATTCAAATTCACAGAGGCAGAAAGTAGAGACAGAAAGTAGAAAGGTGGTTGCCAGGAGGTGGGAGTACAGGGTAATGGTGAAATAGTATCTAATAGAGAGTTTCAGTTTCAGAAAATGAAAAGTTTCTGGAGAGGAATGGTGATGAAGACCACAGAATATGAATGTCACCAAACTATACTCTTAAAAATGATTAAGTTCGTAATTTTTTTTTTTTTTTGGAGACAGATTCTCACTATGTCACCCTTGGTAGAGTACCGTGGCGTCACAGCTCACAACAACCTCAAACTCTTGAGCTTAAGTGATTCTTTGCCTCAGCCTCCCAAGTAGCTGGGACTATAGGCACCTGTCACAATACCTGGCTTTTTTTTTTTTGGTTGCAGTTGTCTTTGTTTAGCAGGCCCAGGCTGGGCTCAAACCCACCAGCCTCAGCATATGAGGCCAGTGCCCCACTCACTGAGCTATGGGCACCAGGCCTAAAATGGTAAATTTTATGTTATGTATATTTTATCACTATACAAAATATTATCTAGTCCAACCCTCCCCATTTTACAAATGAAAGGGAGGTCCATGTTCACAAAGCTTCTCAATTAGACAAAATAAAGCTCTGATTCTATTTCCACTAACATCACTACCCCTAAATTCTTTCTGGGCTTTAATAAAAATATGAAACACTAGAGACATAGTACCTAAAAAATGGTAAGTGATGGTCATAAGAAGATAAAATTGCACAGAAAAAAATTACAATTACAGTATAATTAAAATTAGTAGGCAGATAGGATTTAATTATATGTATTTTTATATTTTAGAGACAGAGTCTTGCTCTGTTGCCCAGGCTGGAGCTCACTACAGCCTCAAACTCCTTGTAAATGAGTCAACAAGAATAAATTACTCACATGCCTTACAAAAAAAGAGAGGTACACAGAAGACTACACATTTTTCAATAAAATAAAGTGAATCTTTGGTCTTTTAGAAGGCTATTCTCTGATGGTATAAAAGAGGCTTTGTTATAATTTAAAGATACACAATCGGCTCGGCGCCTATAGCTCAACTGGCTAAGGCGCCAGCCACGTACACCTAAGGTGGCGGGTTCGAATCCCCAGCCCGGACGCGCCAAACAACAATGATGGCTGCAACCAGAAATAGCCGGGCGTTGTGGCGGGCGTCTGTGGTCCCAGCTACTTGGGAGGCAGAGGCAGGAGACTCGCTTGAGCCCAGGAGTTGGAGGTTGCTGTGAGCATGATGCCATGGCACTCTACCCAGGGGGACAGCTTGAGGCTCCGTCTCAAAAAAAAAAAAAAAAAAGATACACAATCATGTAAGCATGCCTACTTCTTTTAAGCATAGTTCTATGTAGAAATACCTTTTCAAAACAATTACCTTGGAAACCACTTGGCATGTTCTACCCATGGATCATCTCCAAATTCCCAACACCTCAAGCCACCATCACAACAAAAGCATTTGACATCGTCATTGCGACCTACAAGGGGAAAGAGACCAAAAATTGAATACATCTGTTTTAATATGTAAATCAAAATGAAGTAGATAAAGTGTATAGCTATTATTTCCTTACCCACATAATAAAAACCAGCACTTGCAAGCTGCTCAGGCCGAACTGGAACACTAGATGGCCAATACATAAATGTTCTCATTCGAGCTGCATATGTCTGCATGCTCAGATTTGAAATGCTAAACCTCAGAGTTTCTAGAGAATTTTCCAAAAATGGACAGTTGGGAAAATGTCTCCGGTGTTCTGACATAGCATCATCCTTTGGTTCCCAGTTACTTAGCTTCCCACCACAAGCAAAGCAGGCTACCCTATCTCCGGGTCCTATATAATAAAAACCAGCTCTTGCCAATTCTGATGGCGACAGAAAAGTTAAAGGCCACAAACGGTAAGTAAGAAATCTGGCTTCTTCAGTACTCATTGCATAACTGTAGGGGTTAGTCCTCAATGCAGAGACGTCTTCGACTGCTCTAGAATTGAGAGGGTTTGGTGAAAGGTTGGAATAAGAACCACCGAATGAGCCACCATGTTCCAAAGTGGGAGATAATGAATGTGCAAAACTGCTTCTCACTGGAGAAATATTCTTAGAGGTGGATCCCAGACTAGCTGAAACCAGATTCTGAACAAAGCTGCAGCTAGGATATAGCTGTTTATGCTTTTCAATAGGACTGTCTCCTTGTTTCCAGTTATCCAGCATCAGGCCGCAACAGAAGCATTTGACCTTGTCATTCACACCGGTGTAATAAAAACCAGCACGAGCAAGACTCCTTTCTGAGACAGGAACACCAGTGGGGAAAGTTGAATATGTAGACATTCTGTACAGTTCACAGGAAAGGTCATACTTCATCTTTTGTTTGTTGTCATTTGTCCAATTTGACAAGATCGGGCTATCTTCCATTATACTCTTAATTTTTTGAGGTAAGGGACTTAGGACAAGTCTTTGGGAGGTAGTTTTGTGCATGAGTAGGTGATAGTACTGCTTGATGGCTAAAAAACCTTCACATGAAATTTGTCTCTTCAAACTAAATTAGATTCTTACCACAAAAAGGGAATAAAGTGATACAATCTTACTTATACAGAATTCACTACACCTCCTTCACTGGATTTCCATCTGCATTTACGCTAAGGTAGAATGAAAAGTTCTCCTCAATTACCAAGATACTACTTAGACCTCTTCAGGATTATAATAAACTTTTAGGTAATTCAAGTGCTATTCGCTCATAATTTGGCATAATATTAACCTAAAGGCCTAAATATGTTGATGCCCTTCTGAAACACCTTGGTTTTTCAAGGTCTATATTCTCAAATTCTAAACAACTATAGAATACCTAAATTATGCCTCTAGTTTACAAGATATGAAGCCTTGATATCAGGCCAATTACTGATTATGCCGCAAGAGTAAAAAATTACCTGCAGACTTCTTTCCCTATAAACACTTTAAAACAACATCCCCCCACATATGGTCATACTATCTAATTTCACACAGCTTATCATCATGGTATTTAGTTAAGAGGCTAGATCAGTTTCAGTTAATTTCCGAGGAAGGCAACATCCACCTTTGTTGAACCTGTGCCTATTACAGTGTGTTCGATGTCAAATGAATTTTGCTTGAAGTTTACAAATTGTAGACTTTCATCTTTGTTAAATATCTGTATTTGTTTCCATTTCCTGCAGCAACATTAGTCTCCCTCAATTTGTATACCACTTTTTTAATACTTGATCAACTGAAGGCATTTTCTCCATCAACTTGTTGACCGTAAGATTTCCACAGCGCATACTTTTACGCTGCATTTAAAAATTAAATAATCTGTTCTTCATTTATGAACCATTCAGTTTTACTATCAGTCATGCTGTAATTAAAGATGAGTTTTATCAAGGTTGTCCTTTCTAGTGTTATTAAAAATGCCTAACGAAATAGTGTAATATCAACAGAATTGCTGCTTAGCATAATAACCCAGTAATTAACTCTCCTAGCCTCTTTCTGAAAACTCTTCAATATTTTAAAGATATAATTCATACACAAAATTACACTCCACAGAATTCAAACTATATCCCTTTATAACGCTGCAGTGTTTCCATAATGGGATTTATTACTGCAATGGGAAAAATAGGAGGGAAAAAGACTCTTCAGGGCTGTAAACCTGAAAAAAAGAAAAGAAAAGAAAGAAAATGTATTTTAGAAAACTGTATTTGCATGGCAAATAAATCTTACAGACTATTCAATTTATTTGGTAAAGTCCACAAATGCTTTACACTTTAGATAATACATCTTCATTTCAGTAATCTGTCACCAAAACTTTCTAACTGGAAAAGCTCTTAATACTGTAAAATAAAATAACAGCAAGATATTCTTATAGCTCTAATGATACATGTCTTTAATATACACAACTTTAAAGACAGATGGACACTTCTACACAAGAAAACATTTTCTCCTTGGTCTCCTACCCTTTTCCGATTTAAGGATTAATTTAACTCTGATACTGTGCTGAAGGCAAAAGGTAACAGTGGTTTGGGGTGGGGGTGGGGGGAAGCGCCTCCACTACACTCGTCCCCAACAGTACAGCAATAAACAGACAGCAACATTATTTTTTAATGTCAGATTTCTCCAGGAGTAGGCAAACTGGTATAAAATGCACCAGGACTTCATTAATATAAACCCTTAAACTCTACCGTTCTCACAGTTCTGAAACCACCACCACAGAAAGCAACTCAAAAGAAAACGTCAGATTGCATGTGAAAACCCCACACTGTACCCCAGAAGCGCATTAATGTACATAGTTACCATTCAATAAAAAAAAAAAGAAAACGTAATACCGTGGCGTGTGAAACAGTGGCCCTGGCAACATGACCACTTGCTTGACTGCTTTAATTACTAACAAGGTCTTCGTCTTTACAGATTTTTATCTACAAACACCCTCCTGCTGACTTTGCTCTCTTTACGTAAACTGTAGCTGGGCAGGGAATAAGCTGGAAGGGAAAGACGAGAAACTACGGGATTGACCCAATAATTTCCCAGAATTATTTCTCTATACACCATAGACACTACTAAAGTGACAGCGCAGTTGGAACTATCTGCCCTGGGAAACCCTGTAGCCACAGAAATATCTCCACTATATCAAAGGAATGCCGAGGACTAAGTTTTCAACCTTGCAAAATTCTAAGAGAAAAAACATCTGAGACAAAGTCCAAAGGCCAGAAAAGTGGGCGGTGGCCAAAGTAGGCTTGAAAACAAGACATTTAAAAAAAAAAATCACTTCCGATCGTAAGTCCTAAAGATAGGGCTTCCTAATTAAATTAAAAACCTCGGCCAGAGTAGACAGCAGAGACCCTGCAGCGACCCTCGACCCAAGGGCCCCAGGCCCTGCCTTCCTCGCCTGCAGTCGCCCCCAGCGTCGCCCCCGCCGGGCCGGAAGGAGCAGCACTCACCGCGGCCCGACGCTCCCAGCGCGGAAGCTGCGCGGCTGCCTGGAAACCGCCTCAAAGCCGGGGCGTCGCTCGCCTCAGCAGGAGAGGCGGAGAGGCGGCGGGCGCGGCTTCCCGGCTCCGGCGTTCCCGAAGCCCCCAAGCCCGGCCGAACCCACGTCGACGCACGGTGACGTCAGCGCGCCCTGGGGACCCGCGGCGCCGGCCGCGCAGGCACGGCCGGGAAGCGGAACCCAGCGCGCCCTCTGCCGCGGGGCGACGCTGCGGAGGCCGGGAGGTCCGGGCGGCCCACGGGGGAGGCGCACGGTGCGCATCGCGTCGGTGTTGCGTGTTTTAACCTCGCGGTTTGGGCACGCTTACTGCTCTCTGCCCCTTCCTGACATTCTCCCGAGGGGGCCTGGCCGCCGGGAGCCCTTTGGTTTCAGTCTCCGGAAACCCTGGGGAAACGCCCTGGCGCTGCTGGTTTGGCGCCGCCCTCGTCCCCTTGACTTACGCACCAGGCCAGCCACGCTCCGCAGGGCGCCGCCTCCCCTGGTGGGAAATGACTGCATCTGAGGATGGAGTCACTGCGGTGGCATTTTTTGCTTCAATGAAGACAATTGTAACCTACCTACACGCCTGCGTAGTATCAACATTCCGCAGCTGGAGGTGCACATCGAAAACGAAGCGTTGGAAAGTAGTATTAATTTTGAAGATATGGTGTATTTGTAATCAGCCAGTGTAACTTTTGTTTTTAAAGTTTTGGTTTGGGGTCCTGGAGACATACACAAGGACGAAAAGTGTCCTTATTTCAAATGCGCATCCCTAGCAAAGCGAACGGTATTTCGGGCCAGGCTTCACTGCCAGGATTTTCTGAATGAATAAAATGGAATATATACACTACTGTGCATGTACGTAGGCACACGATCGTATGTGAACCACAGAGGAGCCCACTTAACAACAAAAAAAATCACATAATTAAGTGATAGAAAAAATGTAAATGAAAAAATGTAAAAAGAAAATTTGTAAATAAAAATCGTGGACATGTTTTCTGCTCCTTGGCTAGTAGGGTGGCAGATAAGATGCCACGTGGTAAATATTGTATTGCCCTGAACAATTTTTTTGATCTATATTCTGTAAAGACACTTTTTGCGAATGAAATCAGATGGTTCTCTCTGTCTGGGGAACTCCAGGGGGCAATAATTTTTAAAACTTCCAAATAAGCCGCTTAATTAGGCAGCCAGGGGAATTCCAAGCCCCTGAACCTTTCCCATTTCCTGTCCGTGTCATTTCGCCTGCCAGTCAGTCACAGAACAGGAGGTCTTCTGTTCCAATGTTAATAGTCAAAAGAAAGTATTTGTAGCAGTTTGTGACACAAAGAAAAAAAATGCCATGGTTCCTAGTGACTAAAAACTTCCAAAAATGCACATGAGTCTTGGTAGTACTTCCGTATTTAGTTCAAGTCACTATTTCTCAGAAAGTTACAGAACATTCCTGATGTATGTGGGAAAATACATACAGCAAGAATGTTCATTCTGAATTCAAGGTTATTTCTCTTTTTCAGTTCTTGCCTGACCAAAAAAGTAAGATAATGAATATACTTCAATGTAAGGGGAATTTTGCATTTTAAAAACTCAAATGTATTAGATATTTTGCCAAAAAGAATGTAATATTCAGATATAAGTAGTACCTTATAACTTTTAATCTTGTATAACCTTGTAGTCTAATATTGCATTTATCCAGTTAATTCAGCTGGTCATTTATTCAGTTAATTTATCTTGTTATATTGCCAGTGTAGAGTTGCTGGTAATTTTAAAAACTAGGCTTATGTATGCTAAGATCATAGTTGTAGTATTTTTCATATTTATATAAAAAAAAAATAGGGCCAGATGTGGTGGCTCTAGCCTGTAACCCTCACACTCTGGGAGGCCACGGCTGGAGAATTCTTTGAAGTCAGTTAAAGATCAACCTGAGCAAGAGCAGAAAAAAATTAGCCAGATGTCATGGTGGGTGCCTGTAGTCTGGGCTACTAAGGAAGTTGAGGAGGCTGAGGCAGGGGGATCGCTTGAATCCTGCAGTTTGAGGTTGCTGTATGCTATGATGATGCCACAGCACTCTAGCCTGGGAAAGAGTGAGACTTAAAAAAAAGAAAAAAGAAAAAATATTTACAGGATCCAAGACAATTCTGAAGAAAAAGGAAATTGAAAGGACTTATCTGCCAGATAACAAGTCACATACAAGGAATGGAGACAGTCTTATATTACTGAATGCACAAGGATGGACAGTAAATTAAAGGAAGAAAATGAAGAGCTCAATAAGAGACCCTCACATAGATATATAGGAACTTGATATATGACATTGTAAGTACATACATGTGTTAGTGAGAAAGGGAATAATAACAGTAATGCTGAATGAATGGTTATTCTAATGGAAAATAAAATTAGATTGCTACTTTATACTGTTTTAAAAAATCCTAATGGATTAAAGAAAAAAAGTCCTCAAAAGTCAACAGCCTTCCTTATGAATCCAGGGACTTAAATTTGGTGAGTTGCAGTACATTGCACTTACTGTCACTATTAGTGTTCAAATTGTTTTATTTTAGGCCAACAGGAGTTTACTTAGGTTAGCTCCTGAGTTTTTGAAATGACCCTAATAGTCTTTGATTACGGTTCCAGGCTCATTTTGTGTAATTCTTACCCTATACCCGTAGTAAACAATTTATACAAACCCCCTGGGTCTTTTAGTAGGAAATAGTATTTAATGACCATCTGAATGTCTGTCATGGTGATTGTTAATGAGTTCCATTGTTTCTATACCTGCTCTGTAGTCAGAGCTGGTTAATATTATTTTGTTTTGTCTTGTTTTTTGTTTTTTGAATAGAATGTATCATGAACTCGGGAGGCTGAGGCAGGAGAATTGCCTAAGCTCAAGAGCTGGAGGTTGCTGTGAGCTGTGATTCCCACAGCACTCTACCAAGGGCAACAAAGTGAGACTCTGTCTCTAAACAAACATACAAAAAAACGTATCATGAACTTATATTGACACTTCAAATTCAATAAAAAAAAAAGAGGTTTTATTTAGCCTCTTTGATTGGACAGCTAAAGCTTTTTCTTTACTCTGTAAATCCACATGCTCCTTTCTAATCCCTTCCTGCCTCATGAGTAATGACTTAAAACATTTTTTATGATTTATTAAAATGTATTATTATATATTTATCTATATTGCCTTTTCTTAAGACAAATAGTAGCATACTTTTTCCTGCCTTTCTCTAGCAAATCATAGAGATTGCTCAGTATTGGTATGTAAAGATAGATATTTATCATTTCAGTATCGTTCTCTGTTGTGTGGATATACCATAACATATTCAACTTGAATTATTTGATGCCAAAAGCAGACAAAGATTTAGGGCCATGTAAAAGACTGAGGAGCCAACCTGAATAAACTCCCCCTCACCTAAGTTAAAACTGTATCCTATTATATTCAACTACTTCTCTACTGATGGACATCTGGGTGGTTTCTAGTCTTTTGCTATTACAAATAGTACTGACTTGAATAGTCATGGGCATACATCTTATGTTAGGTTATATTCCCAGAAATTAGACTGTTAGTTCAAGTGGTAAATTCAGATGTAATTTTGTTGGATGTGGCCAAATACCTTTCCTTTCCAAGGGGGTGTTGGCATTTTGCAGTCCAACCAGCAATGTATGTGACTACTTCTTTTTCCCACAGCTTCACCAGTGGAGTAAGTGTTCAGACTTTTGGATTGTTACCAATCATTTAAATAAAAAATATTGGCTGGGCATGGCGGCTCACACATGTAATCCTAGCACTCTGGGAGGCCGAGGCAGGTGGATAGCTTGAGTTCATGAGTTTAAGACCAGCCTGAGCAAAAAAGCCAGATCTACCTCTACTAAAAATAGAAAAACTGAGGCAGGAAGATTGCTTGAGCCCAAGAGCTGGAAGTTGCTGTGAGCTATGACACTTTGGCACTCTACCTAGGGCAGTGGTTTTCAATCTTCCTATGCCACGACCCTTTAATACAGTTCCTCATGTTGTGATGACCCCCAAACATAAAATTATTATTTATTTTTTTTTTTTGAAACAGAGCCTCAAGCTGTCCCCCTGGGTAGAGTGCTGTGGCATCACAGCTCACAGCAACCTCCACTCCTGGGCTCAAGTGAGTCTCCTGCCTCAGCCTCCCAAGTAGCTGGGACCACAGGCACCCGCCACAACGCTCGGCAATTTTTTGCTTGCAGCAGTCGTTGTTTGGCAGCCCAGGCTGTATTCAAACCCGCCACCTTAGGTGTATGTGGCTGGCGCCTTAGCCACTTGAGCCACAGGCACCAAGCCAAAATTATTTTCATATACTTGTATTTGTATGTGGTGTATGTGATGGCTTTAGGTGATTCCTGTGAAAGGGTCGTTCAACCCCCAAAGGGGTTGTGACCCACAGGTTGAGAACCGCTGACCTTGGGTGACAACTTAAGACTCTGTCTCAAAAAATAAATAAATAAAATTTAAAAAAAATAAATAATATTTTAGGGCAGTTTTAATTTCATTGCTCCGTCCTGAGTGAAACTGAAAATCTTTTCCTGTATATCAATCATATATGCAATGTGCTACTTATTTTTTAAAAATTAAGCAAGCGTAAAAGAATGTTAGAGGCTTGGCGCCCGTAGCTCTGTGAGTAGGGCACTGGCTACATACACTGAAGGTGGTGGCTTCAAGCCAGCCAGGGCAAGCTAAAACAATGACAACTGCAACCAAAAAATAGCCAGGCGTTGTGCCAGGCACCTGTAATCCCAGCTACTTGGGAGTCTGAGGCAAGAGAATCGTTTAAGCCCAAGAGTTTGAGGTTGCTGTGAGCTGTGATGCCAGCACTCTACCCAGGGCGATATAGTGAGACTTGTCACCAAAAAAGGAATGTTAGATTTGTTTGTATGGTATTGTTAAAGAAAAGAAATTCTGACACTTGTTAAAATGGTAAGGACTATACAATTAAAGCATTGGAATAGGAAGGAGAAATTGGGATTAATTTGGAACACAGCAAAGACATCTGGGGTCTTATAAGCAAGAAGAGTTGTTGGAGGGTCAGTGGATGGAAAAGTACTAATCAGAGACATCAAGGGCAGTAGAATTGTTGCTAAAGGAAGCAAGAAGCTTATGCAATGAAGAATTTGGTCAGATATCAAGGGTGAACAGATATCAAGGTTGGGAGGGATCCTCACTAAATTGACTTAGCAGGATTGTTGCTAAGACTAAGGTAGCCAGGCAGATTACAGGGGGGTCAGAGTTGGGCCGAAGGTCAAGACCTAGTTGAGAAGAGGGCTAGAGGACCTTGACTAAAGTCTGGTTGGGGGCAGGGAGGCCTTCATCAGTATGTACACAGAGATGAAAAGTTTACTTTCCTGAATTTTTAAGTAAGTTTATTTTTAAAAATTCAAATAAATAGAAGGCCAGACATTAAGAACTTGCAAATTTGGGGCACATCAGAACTTACTTCCTGAACATTTAATTACTTAAAAAATATCCCAAGCATTATCTTTTCATTTGCTGGGGGGAAAAAATGGCTTCATGTTTCTGTTGTAAGACTTTGGATTTTTCTTTCACAAAATCTTTCATTAGGGTTTAGGAACTAGAAAGAATCTGATAGCTTATTTGGTTTGATCCATTTATTTTAGATATGAGAACTTAGCCAAGGTAGCTACCAAAAAGATTTTACAGATAGATTAAGAATCTGGACATATATAGTAGCCTTAAAATTTTGATATCTGACTCAAAATTCCAATCTTTTTAATTTGCATAAATATCATTTAAAGGATTAATCAGTAAATGTTAGTCACTTAGTATAAATGAGAATCTCAGCAACAC